TGTTTCGATCGTAATAAATTGCGCTTCGCGCGTATTTTTAAACTCCAACTACGTCGCAAATTTCGATTCGATTTCACTCAAATTTTCACAGAAATAACAGTGATTATCGATTATTCTTGTTGATAAATTAATTTGCCAAAAAGCGAAGCCATTTGGATAAACGATGCAAAATAAAAACATCTTCATTTTTCTTTAAAATTAATTTTCTCGAAACTCATCGCATTATTACAATCTCTGCGTTGAGTTTCAGTCTTTTTTTAGTGATAAAAAAATTGAAAATCAGATGAAATTACCGGCCATGATATACTCGATAGATAGTGTGATATGATGTTTGCTATCAGAAATTTTTAATATAAGAAGCTGTTCATGTGTAGATAATTAACAATTATATAAACATCATGCTATTTACAAAGTCAGTTCTTTGTACGAAGTAACTTGAGTGACTAGTAGCAMAGAGTGCTTGTCGCACTATCTTTCACACCATACGCTACGCTCCAGCCTTGGATATGACGTAATAATGAAGGTCAACTTCGCTACTACTATACTACATTACTACCTTACTTGGGTTACCGTTTTTCGCGTATAACAGTCTGTCGGTTCATGGTTCATGTTCATCATGGTTGCTGCCGTGAGTGATTTCTTTAATTTATGCTATTATCAGTGTTTTTTTCGTGACATTCTTTCGCTTTATCGAGTTTTTCGAGTTTGTTCAACACAAATCCTCGATTATTTAACGTTGTCGCCACGTCAGGATGATTGCCGATATAAGTGCTTTCGTAAATTGATAATAATAATAATAATAAACTTTATTTACTTGTCAGATTGATCTAGCTTACAATAGTAAGGCTAGCTCTTTTGCTTCAAGTTTTCCGAGTTTGTTCAACAATGATCCGTTAAAGTTTGTATTGCACATAAACATAACGGTTATAAGATTAAATTTCAATTGTGAAATTGTCCTAATTTACCTTGTTCTGTAGGAAAGKCTTTTGATGAAGACTTCAAATATCTCAGATGCTGCGCTCTTTGAAGAAGTGACTCGGAGCCCGTCTAAACATCAGACGTCATATCTTCTAATATAGATCTGGGTGTGTTTCAAAATCAACAATTTTAAATTGTTGATTTAAATGAGTGTACATTTTACACTCTGTATGACCTCCCGTCTACTCTACTCTAACCCTGTAGTGGACGTTAAAGAACAACTGAGGACGCAGGTACGACCATCCTCAGTGTCTGTACTTCTGCCGCATAACCTTGAGACCACTAACGCACTAACAAATCTAACGTACTCATGTTTGTAAACTGCACGGCTGCTTAAAGCGCCTTCAATAGCAGTCTGACCAAGTCCCTCGCTAACTATGTAATCCAGGTTCAATTCAGATCATGAATTGGTCTGCGAAATCTGGAAAGTCGGCCACATCTTTCTCTCTCTCTCTCTATCTCCAAACATATCCTATAATGCATTGCGCAAATGACGTTAAAAGCTTCAGAGTTCTATTCATGACAACCTTTATATTACTCAGATATTATGAAAATAGTTGCTTGTAAAAGTCTGAAAACAGGAATACTGCAAAGAAACAACAAATCGAAATCTGTCTTTCTCGATGCCATATTGTTTGCATTTTATCCATGGCTGTATAAAACTTTCCAAAAATGTTTATTTCTGAAGTACTTATTTCTAGCTGGTAGATCATTTACATGACAGTGGCAAAGTTTTCACATATTTCACATTCATGAACAAAWAGACAGACAGCCATTGGTGGAAAATTACATACATTTCTTTGTAGTTTTATTTCACCGTAGTTTTTTCCTATTTTGTCGCAGAGTTCTAAAACTTTTCAAAAACGTTTATTTCTGATAGTTCTTTGATGTTACAGTGACAAAATATTCATATCTATCTTATTTTGGAAAAACACAATTGCAGCCATTATGGTAAAGGTGTATAGTCTATTCATAACAGGCCATGGAGTACGCCCTGAATAGGCTTTTAACTCGCAATCCAATGGACCTCATGGTTTAATTCTCAATATACATACATGCAGGAAGGAATACAGTTATGCAGTAGTTTTCTTCTTAATTCTGGGGGGCACAAAACTGGTGGCAACGCCATCATGTGTACGGTTTATAAATTGTCTTTTTTCAACAGCTTAGTTCACCTTATATACAACCTACAATCGTTGCCATAAAACCTTGGATCAAAGAATTATTTGTCTCCAGCCTAACATTTTTAATTGCCCTTCATTTTTCACAGTCCTCCCTTTAGCCCTCTTTCATCAATGTTGGAGCAGCT